GGGCCACGAAACGTGTGAGGGGTGTGCCAGAATGGGGGGTGGAACCGCATGCGGGCGCAGCCACTGGGGCCTTCGGTGGAGCTCCCTATGGGGCCACGAAACGTGTGAGGGGTGTGCCAGAATGGGGGGTGGAACCGCATGCGGGCGCAGCCACTGGGGCCTTCGGTGGAGCTCCCTATGGGGCCACGAAACGTGTGAGGGGTGTGCCAGAATCGGGGGTGGAACCGCATGCGGGCGCAGCCACTGGGGCCTTCGGTGGAGCTCCCTATGGGGCCACGAAACGTGTGAGGGGTGTGCCTGAATGGGGGGTGGAACCGCATGCGGGCGCAGCCACTGGGGCCTTCGGTGGAGCTCCCTATGGGGCCACGAAACGTGTGAGGGGTGTGCCAGAATGGGGGGTGGAACCGCATGCGGGCGCAGCCACTGGGGCCTTCGGTGGAGCTCCCTATGGGGCCACGAAACGTGTGAGGGGTGTGCCAGAATGGGGGGTGGAACCGCATGCGGGCGCAGCCACTGGGGCCTTCGGTGGAGCTCCCTATGGGGCCACGAAACGTGTGAGGGGTGTGCCAGAATGGGGGGTGGAACCGCATGCGGGCGCAGCCACTGGGGCCTTCGGTGGAGCTCCCTATGGGGCCACGAAACGTGTGAGGGGTGTGCCAGAATGGGGGGTGGAACCGCATGCGGGCGCAGCCACTGGGGCCTTCGGTGGAGCTCCCTATGGGGCCACGAAACGTGTGAGGGGTGTGCCAGAATGGGTGTGGGAGGGGGAAGGAGGGGGGAGGAGGAAGGAAGGAGGAACGCGGGGACCGTCTCTTCAAAACGAGGACCCAACAACACAGGTTGGTTGGGAATAAAAACGCAACGCAACACCGGGCGGAACAAAAACACAAAAAACAAAAACCACAAACACACGCACACACAATGACTAGATTATGGCTCTGACTTTGTACACCTAATTTTGGATGCCTTTCGGAGCCTCTTGGGATATCGCTTGGGCGTTTTTTTGGTGGCCTCTTGGGGCGTCTTGGGGGTCTCTTGGCGGTCCTGGGGGGCTCTTGGGCTTCTTGGGTGCCTCGGGGGGGCCTCTTGGAACGTCTGGGCGTTCGGGAGGCATATTGGGTGCCTCGGGGATCCTCCTGAAGCCTTTTAGGGGCCTCTTGGGGGTCTTTTGGGAGCCTTTTGGATGCTTCTTGGGGGCCGTCTGGGCGCCTCCTGGGGTCCTCTTGGGGCGCTATTGAGAGCACCACGGGCGTTTTTGGAATCATCTTGGAAGATATCGATCAAAAAGAGGTTCTTGTTTAGCGCTGCCCCCCCAAGAGGTCAACATGGGACCAACACCCTCGTAAAACCAATGTTTTTTGGGCTTCCTCGCCGAGGCCGCTGTGGACGCTCAGCGGCTCGCGGCACCGCCCGTCCAGGTCCATGGGGGGGGGGTGGAGGGCCAAGACACCCACCCGCCCGCAGGCCGTCTGGCGCACTCCCACCCGCCATCCCTACACATGAGGAACACCCGAGCCTGAGCATGTTCAGCGGTCGTCATTGGATGGGCAGCTACTGGGAACCAAAGCCGACCCCAGGTGCGCGACGTTTGGGCGAGGAGCGCCACGTGTGCCATGGGCGCCACGCGCGTTAGGCACCCCTGAGGCCCGAGCGTGCCAGGCCCGCCTGGTGCGCCAGATGCGCCCCTGGCTCCGAGTGCGCCAGGTGTGCCGCACGTCCCAGCCGCGCCAGGTGCGCCGCGGTCGGGGCACGTGCAGAGAGCATCAGGTGCGCCTGCGCAACCATCGGGAAGCATGACGGCTCCCGCCATCCTTGTCGAAAACCGATGTCCATACTGTGTCAGCTGGGCCTGCGCACCGCAGGCCACGCGCCACCACCCCGCCGTCCCTGTCAAAACCGTTCGACAGTGATCGCGGGATGGGCGCGCACGATCCATATTTAGCCGCGGCGTGCATGCTGTATTTTTTTGTCAGGGATAGTAGCCGTGCGCGCAGCAGGGAAGATGCTGACACCCCCGCCGCCTTTGTCAAAACAATACGAAGTGCTCGCGGGCCCCACGAATATGATTCAAAATTTTGCCCCAACTTATACTCTTTGCGTTGGTTTTTGGCAGCGGATGTTCCACATGTGGGGGCAAAGCGCTGTTTTCAATGACAGGGATGGTGGGGGGGCGGGTGGGCATGGTGTCGGCATGGTGTTTGGTTGGCCACCGGTCGCCTGGGGGAAGTGGTGTATTTCAATAAGTAAGAAACAGTGACACAACCCTTTCCCGACAGGGAAAACAGGGGTTGGAAGAGGACATTCCTTAGACCATCTAGTCCCAGAGGGCTGGTGGGATCATTATTGATCCCCCTTGCTCGGTGCACCTTGTGTGTTTCAATTGAAGAGCTCCTCCCGGGGTTCGCACCTTGTATTTTAGAAGGGGAAGTCTTGGGTGTCAGACTGCGCCCCTGGCCCTCGAGTTACAAAAGCAACGGCTCTTGCCTGATAATCCCTCACCACGTATTCAAGCATTGCGCTCTCTCGCGAGAATTCTTCAAAGTTCATCCAGAAATCGCGCTCTCTCGCAGCATTTCTTGCAGCGTCTCGCATCGCAGCTCCGCCCAGACCCAGGAAGCATGCTCTTGCAAGGTTTTTTTTCTCACGATTGCGAAGGCTTTACGGCCGGTGCCGCCGACCCTGGAGGCTCTTTGGGGCGCTTTGCAGGCCTCTTGGGCCGTCTGGAGGCCGTCAAGGCGTCTTGGACAGATCGTTCGGCGATCCAGGGTTCTCTTTGGACTGTCTCGAGATGTTGCGGTCGCCCCCTTTCCTCGACCTCCTTTTTCTCCAAAAATCAGAAGTCTTTGATTTACCTGGGAATCACGCTATCGCTCGAGACGTCCTCGCGATTTCATTCTGTTTCTGACGCTTCGGCGGCCCCGCCGAAGCGCCAGAACCTCCAAGAGGTACTCCGTGACATTTCCATTGTGCGGTTGCACAGTTCGTGTGCCAAGAGGGTCATCTGAGTTCGCAACCATGGATAAGGAGAGAGAAAACAGTTTTGGTCGGCGGGTCGGGAGCGGGCCCCTTCCGGTTAAGAGCTAGGCGGGGCGCGCGAAGCACTAATTGGGGAGACAGGGCGCGGGGGGGCGGGGCCTCCGGCGGCCGGGGGGTGCGGAGCACAGGCGGTGCCGAAGAGCTTGCACAGGAAAAGGTACGCCGTGGACAGGAGCCGGGGGCGACGTCCCGGAGGGAGAGTGAATTGGTGTTGCCGTCAGCGAAGGAGCGAGAAAACACCCCCCTCCCCAAAAAAAACAAATCGGCGGCCCCGCCGTATCGACCCCGCCGGGTCGCGGGCCCGCCCGCGCGACCCGCCCCGCCCCGGCCCCGCCCGCCCGACGCGGCAGCGAGCTGTTCCGCCCCTGACCTTACGTCGGGCGCTTCCCCCTGCAGGGGGATTTTCGACGAAAAATTAAAAATCCACCAAAAATAATCCCAAAGTGGTCCAAAAATAGTCTGGGGATTTTTTTTCCTTTGGGGGGGGGGGGGGCGGGGCCCATTTTTTGACCTTATTAGGGCATTGCTGTGGTATTTTTTATATTTCGTCGAAAATCGCCTTGTAGGGGGACACGCCCGACATAACCCTAACCTTAGTCGGGCGCGTCCCTCTACAGGAGGATCGGAGGTGGATAGACCTCCTCCCCTGACACGGCGATTGAGGAATTGGGCGTTTTCGGTTCGCGAGAGGGCGTCGCGGCCGTCACTTTTGCGGGTCCAGGTCCGTCGGTTTCGGTCCCAGGCCGTTTTCATTACGGGGAGGTTTACTAAAGGGAGGCTTGTCCACCGCCGAGAGGAATATTCAAAAATAATCAACAAAATAGTATTGGGACTATGTTTAAAGTACTTTGTTTTCCATTTGGGTGTCTTTTTAAGGGGGGGCTATTTTCAATTTTCGTCCAACATCCCCCTGAAGGAGGACAGGCCCGACTTAGTCCTAACCCCCCCGGAGGATGTATTCAGACGCCGCGCCTTCGACATTCAGGAGTCACGCTCTCGCTGTGGTTTTCCCCACGATCTGTCTGGGAGCCAGGACGCACGCGTCAGCAGCCCGCCTGCTCGACCTGGCCCTTGGGCTTGCTCACCCATCCGCGCGATCTGCCCGTCTGGTTCTGCCACGTGTGTTCTGCTCCTGGCCCCCTTCCTGCTACCCTCTCTCGTGCTCCATCCTCCTCCTTCCCCCGTGTCCCTTCCTTCCGTGCGTCCTCTCTCCCCCTACCTCAGGGGCTGCACGAAATACACGTTGCAGGTACGGAAGACATATGTATAATCATATATATATATATATATATATATATATAGATGTACGTATACATACCCCAAGGGGGTATGATCGAAGACGAAGAAGGCGGGTATCGAGGGTTTGGGATATACGTGTTGAGTGGCACGCGAGCAGATAGAGCGACCAGTCTTAAAATGATTGTTGTTTTTGTCGGCCCGGGTCCATGTCTCACATTTGGAGAGGAGCCCGCGCTCGTTTTCACTGAAACTGTAGCCCCCGCTCGAGCGAGAGGGCTTCGTCAATCTTCCGTCGACCAGCATTCATAATTCTCTCGACATGGGCATTCAACGACAAACAGCAATAATCCTCACCTCGGAAGCCTACTTCAGGCACGCACGCAAGGATGGCGTAAGACCGTCAAGCCTTTTGATTTTGGCTCACCAAGGGACAGTGGGAGCGCATTCTGACTTGGGGCGCCCCCCTCCAGGATCTCCCTCGAAGGTCCCCCCTCGGGACCCCCCCCATCGAACGCCCCCCTCCTCACCTCCCTCAGCGGAGACGGGATCAAAGGAACAGGGTTCCTTTTTGACTCGATTGCAACGTGGCTCCATTCATCCTGGGTTGACGAGCTTGGAGCGCCAAAGGTGGCTGCCGGGAAATGATGAGAAATTCGACCCGAAGAGCGTCTCCCATGACCACCACGGGACAACGGGCCCACAACTCCCCCGCACACGCCGGCAGGGCCGGCGGATCATGAGTAATCTTCGTAAAGACTACTTATGCCCCCTGGGATTTCATCGTCAAAGGCACGTTGGCTTTCGGACACTGGTTGTCAGAGCGACCCAGTTTTCGCTGAGCCCGCCCTGATCGCGCGATGCTGGCGATGCCGGTGCCAGGCGTCGTGGACTCGTCAGATGTCTTTGGCGAGCCAGACGAGTACAAGCCAAATGTTAGATCTTTGGTTCTGTCATCCAGTCTGTCAATGAGGATGGGGGCCCCTGACGAGTTAGACGAGCAGAAGTCGAATCCTGATGTCAGGTCGGAGTCGAGGTCTCCGTCAGCGGAACGGAGGAAGAAGTCCAAGATGTCCGTCTTCACTGCAATGACGGTCAGAAAAAGTTTGAGCCGCATGTCGCCCAAACAGAAAAGTCTAGTCGAGGAAGACAAGAAGCAAATGCGTGCAAATCTTTCAGCAAGCTTGCATAAGGAGGTTTACGATGTATCTCGGTACTACTGGAGCGTGACCGACCCAGGGTATAGAGGTTTTGCTTCGTCTTTTGCGCAGAATCATATCTTCGAGAAGATTACGCTAGCAGTGATCAGCGTCAATGCTCTCTGGATCTCATACGACACGGATGCCAATCCTGCGGAGACATTGTCCGATGCTGACATTCAATTCCAGATAGCTGAGCATGTGTTCTGTGTGTTTTTCAGCTTCGAATGGCTAGTACGGTTCACCGCATTCAAACAGAAGAGCAATTGCTTGAGAGACGGTTGGTTCGTCTTCGATTCTTTCTTGGTTAGCACTATGGTGGCAGAAACTTGGGTATTGGTGCTCATACTCGAGCTGATGGGTCAGGACAGGTCAGGTGGAAATCCTCTAGGCAATTCGGCGCTTCTCCGAATGGCCCGTCTTCTGCGATTGAGCCGGATATCGAAGACGCCTCCGGCGAGCCACCGTTGCCACCCTCCTTGTTAAGGACATATTTTTGAGGCCAAGCGCAAGCCCATATTTCGTCAATTTGTTTGGCCTGTTGCAAACAACTCGGAGAACCTTGGGGGTTTGTTTCCATGGTTTTTGGGCATCTTTGGCGATATGGATGGGCCATTGGGGCCCACCGAGGCAATTTTTTGAAGTCCCTGGGGCAACTTGGTGGTTTCTGGTGCCATCCTTGGGAGTCCTGGGGCCTGTCAGAAACGGGCTCATCTTTGGCTGTTTGGGGATCGACTCGTGGGCCTTTTGGGGGCTTCTTTCCCCTCTTGGACTATATATTGGTCTTCTTGTGTTGTTGTTACTTGTTGCTGTTGTTGCTGTTGCTGGTGTTGGTGCTGGTGCTGTTGCTGTTGTTGTTGGTGATGGTGGTGCTGTTGTTGCTGTTGTTGTTGTTGTTGTTGTTGCAGCAATGCTAGATGTTTGTGCTGCTTTTCTTGTTGTTGTTGTTGTTGTTTTGTTGAACATTATTTATTCTAAAGAATAATTATTGTTGGGCCCCCTGGTGCGCGCCCCCCCTGCGCCGCCTAGGCCGCAGCTACATTTTCATCATTTTCGTGAGGAAGCCTCAGAAAAGAGGGTGTGTACAGGATCCGGTTGTTTTGTTGTAATCCGCTTTCCCTTGCAAAAAACAATAGAAAATGACATTTCTTGTTCTAATATAATCAAATTTCAAGAATCCCTTGCAAAAAATAAGGTAAAGTGGACATTCGCGCGCGCAAGACGAAATCCTTCCAAAACCTTAGTGTTCGCAGCGATTTTAACATAAAAACATCAAAAAACCAATGGTTTTTCAACAAAAAATGTCAAAATCTCATCCCGCGCGCTCTTGCGGATTCGTAGGAAACCCAACACTTTTTAAACATTTCTGTCAAACGGGCTTTTGCGAGCAACTTTTTCGAACTTCTGCAACAACGGTTGCGCACCTGCCAGGGCCATCATCCCTGTCAAATAATACCATGCGGGACACATTCGTTTTTTCTTCGCGCGCGCACGCCGTCGTCGTCGGCCGCGGGGCCCTGAATAGTAGCCACGGTCGTCCGCATGCCACGAAGTGAAGTGTCCGAACGTCATAGGGCGGGAAGCTGGGTGTGGGTGGTGGCGAAGAGTCGTTTGGAAATTTGGTAGAGCTTGAACCGGCCCCCCCACAAAGTGGGGGTATTGCCCGCCTCCTATGAAAACCCTGGCACTGGTGAGAACGGAGTGTCCCCACGTGCTAGTAATTGTTGTTGTTGTTGTTGTTGTTGTTGTTGTTGTTGTTGTTGTTGTTGTTGTTGTTGTTGTTGTCATTGTAGTTGTCGTTGTTGCTGCTGCTGCTGTTGTTATGGTTGCTGTCGTCGTCATCGTTGTTGTTGCTGCTGTTGTTGTTGAGCTCTCACCGCTGAAGAATAAGTAATGTTGATCCCCCCGGTGACCATTTTGTTTTTTTTCCAATTGAAGTGCTTCCCCAGGGGCTCGCACCCAGCTTTTTATGAGGGAAGGTCACTCGGGTCTAACTGTGTTGTTGGCCCCCGGAAAGCAACAACAACGGTTCCCGTTTGAGACTTCTTCACAATTTAGCCAAGACCCTCGCTTCCGCCGGAGACTTCCTCGCATTTTACGCAGGACTCGCGCACTCGCTGGGAAGTTCCGTACAATTTACTCAGGAATCGCTCTCTCGGCGCTCTGGAGTCGCGCTCTCGCTGTAGACTTGCTTGCAATTCTTCACGCTTCGCGTGTCCCCACCAGCGTCCGTAGCCTGGCTCAAGCCGTCTCGGCTCGAGCCCGCCCCTGACAGGTTCGCGCCAGGCCGGCCTCGCGATGGCCTCGCCCCCCTCGGGCGCCGCCCTGCGGCGGCGGCAGCGCCTGGCCGCCGCCGCGCGCGCCGGGCTGCCGCCTGCTGCGGCCGCGGCCGCTCCCGCCGCCGCCGCCGCCGCTGCCTCCACCTGGGAGGCCGGCGCGCGGGAGGCGGCGGCGGCCGGCGGTGGCGGCGGCGGCCAGCGGCGAGCCTCGCCGCCGCCGCCGCTGCCCTCCCCTTGGGGGCTGGCGCCTGGGCGGCTGGAGGCTGCTGGCGGCGCCCCTGCCGCCACTGCCGCCGCCGCCGCGGCCGCCGCCGCCTCCGCTGCTGCCGCCTCTGGCTTCTCCCCGGCGGCGGCGGCGGCCGCGGCGCCGCGGCCGGCGTCGCGGCTGCCTTCGCGGCGGCCGCTGCCGCCGCTGCTGCCGCCGCCGGCGGCGCCTCGGCCGCCCCGGCGGCCACCTGCGCCTCGGCCGCCGCGCTGCCGCCGCCGCCGCCGCCTCCGCTGCCGCCGCCACCGGCCTCCCCCCCGGCGGCGGCGGCGGCCGGCGGCGCCGCGCCGGCGCCGCGGCTGCCTTCGCGGCGCTGCCGCTGCTGCCGCTGCCACCGCCGCTGCCGGCCCCCCCGCCGCGGCGGCGGCGGGCGGCCGGCGGCGGCACGACCAGCCCCGTTGCCAGCCCCACTGCCTGCCCCACGGCCAGCCCCACAGGCAGCCCCCCGGCCAGCCCCGGCGGCGCCGCGGCTGGCGCCGCCGCGCGGCCGCTGGCGCGGCGGCGGCGGCGGCCGCCGCGGCCGTCCCCGCGGCCGCCGGCGGCGCGGCCGCTGGCGCAGCTGCCGCGGCGGCCACCGCCGCGGCCCCTGGCGAGCAGCCGCAGCAGCAGGGCAGCAGCAGCAGCAGCAGCAGGGCAGCAGGGCAGCAGCAGCCGCAGCAGCCGCTGCAGCAGGGCAGCAGCAGCAGCAGCCGCAGCAGCAGGGCAGCAGCAGCAGCAGCAGCAGCAGCAGCAACAGCCTCTGCAGCAGCAGCAGCAGCAGCAGCAACAGCGGCAGTATCAGCAGCAGCAGCGGCAACAGCACCCCGCAGCTGCAGCAGCAGCGAAGCCCCCCTCTGGAAGCCGCGGAATATCCCACTCAGAGGAATCAGTCCGTCATTGGTTCTGACGAGCTGTTGTCGGACGTGCCGTGCATCTCCATGGAATTACTTGGCTCAAACAAAAGTTTCCTTGGAAACTCGCAAGAGGAATAATATGTATCTAAACCCGTCGGCATGATGAAAAGTCGCGCGCGCGTGCTCAGCGTTCGCACGCACGGGATCCCAAGACGTCCCATGGCCACGACATGCTTCCAGGAATGCCTCAGGCCACGGACGATAACGTCCAGATGACCCAGGATGATGCCACCCCAACGCGATCCCGCCATGGATTCTGGACCGTCCCAGGCCGACTCGCAGATGACGAAACGCATGATCGACGCGTGACGCCGAGATGGCCCGATGGCAACATTCCTGATCCAAGCGCACCCAGGGTGGCCTCATAATGACCACGTGATGGTTGCGTGATCCAAACATGACCAGGATAGGATCTCAAGATGACCTCGAGACGATCCCAACACGGCAATAATGCTGACTTCGAGCCGATTCCAGCATGGTGGGATCCGTGAACGGCCCGGGATTTTGGTCTACCCCATTTTTAATGGGTGGGATTTGGATCGTCCTGAACTAAACTTATAATATTAAAGCGGAATAAGCCAGGCGGGATCCCGCCCAGCCCACGGAGGAAGACAACATTTGCTAGGCTTCTACGGGGGTAGGGGGTTCGGAAGGGGCGTCGTTTACTTCCGCTGACATTGGCAAGCCTTCCGGCGGCCTTCCCCCGTCTTCCGCCTCGTTTTACTTCCGTCGACTTCCGCCGGCCAGCGTCGTGATGAAAATTCCAGGAACTGGGCCGATGTAGCCACCCCTTCCCCCTGCACGCGGTCAGACCGTGAGCGCGGTGCTCCGGCCGCAGGTTCCACCCGGCCCCCAGAGGCCGAGAACGGGGCTCCCGTCGGGAACCAAGAGGCGTCCTTGGACGAGGCATCTGGAGAGAGTCAACTCGCGCCCATGGAAGTGGAATGCGCTGGCCACCCACAAAGAAGGCAGGCAACCATACCCCCCCCTGCAGCGACGGGTGACTCACCTCGGAGTCCGCTAGGCGACGACGGAAGAGCGGGCTCCGAGCAGACAGCGCTGGTCCAGAGTCCCGTCCTTCCCTCGTCCTCCTTCAATGCTTCGTTGACTGCGGCTTTCGGCTGCGCCCCCCAGCAGCGCCAGCAGGACAGAGGAAAGGAGGGGGAAGTCACGGCGGAGACGGCGGAGGCTGCGGGGGCCGCGGAATATCCCCCTCAGAGCAATCAGTGCGTCGGCAGTCCTCTGGGAGCGCCGCGCACCCAGCAGGGGGGCCACGGAACAACCGTCCAGACGCAGGATAGCGAAGCCATCCGCTGGCTCGTCTGGAGAACCCCCTTTGCGCTTATTCGCACCCCTTCCCCTGTCGGCGAGCTCCTTATGGACGGCGAACCCCAGGCGCCCTCGCCGGGCGCCCAGGGCACAGCTGGCGAAGTAGCTCGCGCCCCGGCTGTGGAAGTTGTGCCGCAGTGCGTGCGCGCGCCCGGCGCAACCAGTGGTGCCCCAGAGAACGGAGGGAGTCGCGCGCTGTCCAAAGGGGGCGCACCTTGGAGCGACAGCGGGCACAGGCCCGAAGGCGAACGCCAGCGAAAGGGGCCCTTCCCCGCGCGCCACAAGGCCGCGTCTGCCCTGGTCGCCGGACGCGTTCCGACCCCAGCCTGGTGGCCAACCGCGCGGCCTGCATCCTGCATTTCCCCGCGCAATCCTGCCGGGCGCGCAGCCGGAGTTGTCGCGAGCAGATCGCGAGCCCCCCAGCAATAGGACAACGAGGCCGGTACATTGGAGTCTCGCGGCCGGGATGCACGGCGGCGCCAGGGGCCCGACCCGCGTCAATGGCCAGAGCCCGAGGACCCCGACACGGGACAACAGCTGTGCAAGACAGGAATCAACAACGTCCAGTGGGACCTCCCCGGGAAGACGCCCGGCGAGGCGACGCGACGGTTCCAAGTCACACTGGGACCAACGTTCACTGGCACCTGGCGCGCTTTCGCCAAGCGGCAGCGCGCTCGACCCGCTTCGGCGCGACCCTCAGACCTGCCGCCTCTTCCTGGAATCCTTCCGTAACCACAAGTGCGACGTTCGGGTCCGCAGCGAAGCGCTGGGCCTCGACGTCGACTGGGCTCGGCCGTGGCAGCTGCGCCTGGGTCCGAGCGGCGGAGCGAGCAGTGGTCACCGCGCGGCAAAGGGCCACCCGAACAAACAGGCCCCCAGGAAGCACAGAAAACAGTGGTGGGCCGTCTCCCCACAGTAGCCTTGCTACTCCCTCGTGGCATCCCTGCGAGTTGCTACCGTGGCATGTGTTTCGACTTCTGTTATGTTCGGAGCTTATACTTCTTTCTCTTGGCTGTTGTCTACGTGCTGCGTTTGGGTTTACCGTCGGCATCAGTCCTCTTCTCCTCTGTCTGCGTGCTGCGCGTGTGGCTATGCCGTGGACAGTTTGATTTTCTATTCTGACATCACCCTCTCTGTTGGCTACGAGTTGTGCACCGTGCTCATCGGCGCGATTGGGTTTCTCATGCGTCCCCCCTCTTGGTTCTGACGGGCCGCTGTCGGACGCGCCGTGCTTCTCCATCGGAGGAAACACGCTGTGAGGGCGACGAATTGACAAGCCCCCCCGGAGCGGAAGATACGCGCATCCCGAGTATGTCGGAGGAAACGCACTGTGAGGGCGACGAATTGACAGGCCCCCCCCTGGAGCGGTCGCGATAGGCAAGCAGAGAATATTGGTATTCTTAACGCTTCGCGTATCCCCACCACCACAGTGCTCGTGTGACCCTAAGAACAGGCCCCGCCCTGCCCCCGGAGGCTGGGAATGAGGTCCAGGCACGGAACCGTGAGACGGCAGTGGGGGATGTGCCTGGAGAACGGCGAGCGGAACCCGTGGAAGGCGGCAGCGCAGACCCCCCGCCAGGTGGACAGGCGAGCAGGCCCCCCCCCGCGGTGACTGAAGATCCTCCACATGGAGCGGTGGAGGGATCAAACAGAGGAGACCCAGACCGGCCAGCACCGTCACAGAGGGCCGCCTCCTCCTCCTCCTCCTCCTCCTCCTCCTCCTCCTCCTCCTCCGCCTCCTCCTATTCACCCGTTTGTGCGGCTCTCGGCTGCGCCCCCCCCCCCCCCCCCCCCCCCTCCTCCTCCCCCTCCTCCCGCCCTTAATTTTCAAGTATCTGCGGCTTTGGCTGCGCCCCCATGCGAAGTGTGATGTGGTCGAGGAAGTGCTTCCGCCCTGGTTCGGGCCATGCGGAGATGCCCAGGGCGCAGCGCCCGTGCCCGGCGGCACCAGGATGCACCCCCCATGGTCATTCACAAGTCTCTGCGGCTCTTGGCTGCGCCCCCTGCGTTGTGAGAGGACCTCGTGACCTGTGACCTGACGGCGTCGACCACCCCAGCGGGTCAGCACATCGTAGATTGCCTGAGCCTGCCCCGACTGCGACGCCAACGCCGACGACGGTGCCGACGGCGACGCCTTATCCCCCCCTCCTGCGACGCCAACGTCGACGACGGAGCCGTCTGCGACGCCTGATCCGGCTTCGAATCTGACGCCAGCGCCGACGACGGAGCCGACGGCGACGCCCTGTCCGTCTCCGACACGCTCAGTCTGCGTGTCGCAGGGGCTCTCGTGCGGAGACGACGGCTGCGGTGACTCGCGCGGCCAGCGCGCGTCGCCAGAGTACTGCTCGGGCAGCGTGGCAGGCGCGGTTCTGCGACTGATCCGACTCCGACGGCGACGCCAGCGCCGACGACAGAGCCGACTGCCTGATTTGGCTCCGACTGCGACGCCTGCGCCGTCGACGGAGCCGACGGCGACGCCTAGTCCGACTCCGACTGCGACGCCGGCGCCGACGTCGGAGCCGACGGCGACGCCTGGCCCGGCTTCGACTGCGACGCAGCGCCGACGACGGAGCCGACGGCGACCCCCAACCCGACTCCGACATGCACCCCTGGCTGCGTGTCGCAGGGGCTCGTGTGCGGTGACGACGGCTGCGGTGGCTCGCGCGGCCAGTGCTCGGTGCCAGATCCCCGGGCGTTTTCGCCCCGAGCTTCTCCTGGCCTCCCGCCTAGTAGTCCACCGTCCCCCCTGCTACATGGTATGGAATTTGGGTGGTCTGTAGGGGCAACTGTCATGCATCCGCGGACGCGCCCTCTGAACGGCGGGTGCTCCGCGGGAAATACGTTTGGGGGTAGCGGGCCCCCCGATATATGTAGGTGAGGTAGCGCGCGCTTCTTGCCCCTCTCAGCGGGGCAGCGGATTTGAGTTTCCTTGAAATTTTCGCGAGATCGCATCGGCGGCGCGATCGGGCGCGAAGGGGTTCGACAGCGACGCATCGTCCTTGCATCGACGGCGCCATTGGGTGCGATTGATTAGATGCATCGGCTCTGCGTTTGTCGGTATGACTACATGGTTTGTTTTGTTGCGTCGTTCGCTCAGGCGCGTCGGGTGCATGTCAGAGCAGGGGCGCGAAGATGGGAGCCTGGTTGTTTTGCCCCAAGACTTGTATGAACTCTGGGAACATCTTGGCTCGAACCCACGCCATTCGCCGTGTGCCCGAGTAAATCTGCTTGAATGTCTCGAGCCAGTGCGCTTTGCAATGGAGGGCGCTGCTCTGCCGCCATCTCTGCCTCAGCCGGAGAGAACATCGACCGCGCACTTACCGCACATAACATCCATTGTCCGTAAGCAGGAGGCGACTGCAGTTGGAGCTTGGCTTCTTTCAGAATGCAGCAGTGTCGCAGGGGATTCGTCTGTGTATTGGCGCGTGGATCGCGCCGTGATGTTCCGAGATCTGATATCTATGCCGAGGGGTGGGCTTGCCCGAGTGAGTACCCTGGTAAATTTGAAGGGCGACTACGAATACCAGCTGCGCTTGGCCGAGAGCGTCGTCGGCGGCCCCATGACTTCTCACTTTCCTGGCGGCCAGGCGCGCTGGCGTGCTTGGCCGCTAGACGACGCGCAATTGCGAGCAGTTCGAGCGTCTGCGGGAGAACCTTTCACGATCGTCTCGCCCGCCACCTTCGCTCGCGCAGTCGGCGTGGCTCCGAAGATCGTCAGGTTCTCGGGGCCAATCGTTGTTTGGTCGTCTCTCCTTCCTCTCCCGCCTGACCTCCTGTCTTCGCCCGGCCTGTTCTTGCTGCCCCCCTCGTCGTCGTCTCCGCCGTCATCGTCGAGCTCGCCCTCGCCCTTTGTACCGTCATTTTTCGTTTCTCGAACTGCTTGCACTTGCGCGTCGCGTAGGGTGGTCCCTGACGCGCGGGCGGAGGCGCTCGCGCTGCAGGACGCTGCAGCCGCCGACGTGGACGTGGCCGTCGCTCCGCCCGAGGCGGGCATCGTGGAGGTGCAGGCCGCCCCGCCTCGTGGCGACGCCGCTGGCTCATTGGGTGAGGTTCGGAGGAATCTAGCGTCGATGGCAGGCCCTCACCTTGGTGGCACTGTGGGCCACCGCTGGGCCCCTCACGGTATCCTTTGTTGCTTGAGCTTGGCATTCCAACTCAAGCCGTCTGCGAAGTTATCTGACTTGCTCGCCATGGTTGTCCAGATGTTCTACGGGAGGGATGGGTCGCAGCTGGTGAACGAGATCCGCCATGGGAGGATTCCGCTTCCTTCGTCAGAGTTGATGCGTCAAGCTCGCATTCGTTTGGATGTGCTAGCGATTCTATATGAGCGTGAGTTAAACAAAGATTTTAAGTTCATGAGGTACTTGTTAGTAGATGGTAGTAAGCAGCTCGGCCGGCATTTCTTGTGTACCCGAGAAGACCGCATACGTTATCCACGATCGGAGTTTGGGAATCCTGGCTTCATGGTGAGGTATGACCTGAACGAAGGCTTCGAATCCAGAGTCTGCCCGCTTTCGACAACTGGCGAGGGGCACTCCACCGCTTTAAAGAAAACGTTCAATGTCACGAGCATGTTTCTCATGGAGTGCGAGCGCGAGTCCGATTTCGAAGAACGTCGGTGCGAGGTCTTCGGCATTGCAACTGATCAGGGGGCTGAGGCAAAGATCCACGATCAAGCAGCAAACATAGTGCCTTTCTGGGATGGTAAATATGCTGCGCTTGATCCCAGGAGTTGGTTGTGGCCGTTTGTGTTGTTCGTGACTGGGCACCTTCACTTGTTGTTTAACGCGTTGGAGGAAGCATGTAAGCAGGTCAGCGTCGCGACCGGGTTTTTCAGTAACCTGGCGACGATGTGCAAGTTTTCGGGTGATAGTGGCATGCGTGAAAAGTTCCAGAAGCATTGTTGTATCGGTCGGGCTTGCGCTGGGAAGTTCAATCACTTTGCAAACCACCGCATTGACTGGCGCTGGGAATTCATGAGCCCTGCGATTATTGCTGTCATGGCAGTATGGCATGATGTTTGCGACAACTTTAACGCAGCAGTGATGGCGGCAAGCGAGACGGGGAGACTTGATCGGAAGATATTGGATGAGGTGGCACGCGTCGTGGGTGATCGTTGGGCGTTCGCTGCAGTCGCGGAGATGTTCAGGATGTTCGCCGCCATCGTCGAGAAATATGCTAGCCGACTGGAAGGTTGTGAATGTCATTCTTGGATTTGGAAGCGCAAGCGAAAACACTCCAGTAAGTTGAACGATCTTGGGGGACTGACTGGCTTTAAGCACTGTGTCTGGAAAGGCCGCCAGGCCGCTTGGTGGGTTGCCGTTGGGCTGGATCAAATGCTGTCCGACCTGGCGAACCCCGTTTCTAAAGATTTGGATGCAATTTTAAGCCGTGTTGATTTAGCTCGCAAGACGGAGATCTTGAAGTGGGTGAAGGAAATGTCAGGCATGCTGATTGAGATCGCGCGTCAGAAGATGCAGTTCTGGAGGCATTTCCCTTGGCTTGTCGTTGGCGTATTTTGGGGCGCGTTGAGGAGCGATCCGGCTGACATGTCATGGAGGCGACCGCTGCGACAGAGCATCGACGAGTCTGATCAGGCCGTTGCTGCTGGGCGCCCCTTAGGGAGAATATCTCATCGATTGTTGGGGCCCGAGGGCCCATGCGGAAGGGAGCTTCGGGAGTTGAACGATCACGAGGATCAGCGCTTGAATGATTATCCAATGGCGTACGCCGCCATTCTTTCTTACGCTCTGGCGCCGCTGGTGGAGAGGAACGTGGAGAGCATACACGCTAGAGTCAGCTCTTTGGGGCGCACAATGACGTACGTGCATGCGCCGACGGTGTGTGCTCGTCTGCGCGAGCCCACGCACATAGCGCTGCTGCAGTCCTCAGAGGCGTTCCATTCGTTCTGTTGCATGAACTACAGGAAGCTCAAGCTGTTCGATTGCGTCCTGCAGAACAGGTTCACTACATCCGAGCTTGATGGGATGTCAAGTCGGGAAAAGCTCCATGCTATCTACATGTGCGATATCGACTCGAAGTACCAGACCATGGACCCCCAGAGAGACAGCTGGCAGATCTGGAAGGATGGCCTAGACTCCATGAAGATGAGGTTGCCCATTGCTTATGGTAACCCGACACCTGAGATCAAACACGCGGTCCAATTCATCAAGGGCCTGTTCTGCCAGCACGGGTACTACAGTCTCCCCGTGGAACTTTACAATGCCATGGCTTCGCCAGACGTGGAGATCGTAGAGTTTGTCGACCAGGACGTGTCCCACCATATTCTGGACATGGCGCACGGCGAGGTTGGTGAATTTGATGTCCAGTCATTCTTATCTGATTGGTGCAACGTCGTCTTCTTCAAGGTGGTCAACGTGCGCCCAGAGGCTCGACAACACATGTACGTCCCACACGTGTTCCACACCAGGTCCAACGTTGCTGTCCTCCGCTGCGATGTCGTCGGCACCGACGAGGGCATGCGTGTGGTCGTCTCGGATTCCGTTGCTCACCAGGTCGCTTCTTTTGCGTGACGTCTTTCTTTTCCCACGCCTGCTATTCTCCTACTCCCCCTTCCCGCTTCTTCCTCCAAACAACATTGGACACTAGGTTCTGTTGGATTGCACTGCCATCGCGTCGAGGGTGGACGTCGTGTTGAAGTCTTTGTACGCGTGGGCCCCATGCAGGAAGGAGGTCGCAGTGACTATGCTAGATAATGTTCCTGCCTGCATCTCGGTGCTGCCCCCTCCGATAGCGTCTGAGCGGCCTCCAGCAGCAGTCCCATCCAGTAGCGTCGTGCCGTTTGCAGATAGTGGGGCGCATGCGAGGTGCAAGCGTCTGTTGAATGACTTGCATGCGTTTGGGGCCGCTTCGCAGTCCGTGGACCCGATGGCGCTCGATCGTTGTGATTTCGAGGCTCTGCGTTTGTTGGAGGGCTGCGGGGTTGTCCAGAGGACCGAAGACGTGTTCCATGAGTCCCGTTACTCCATCAACCTGGATTGCATTCGCCAGACCACTCACGTTTACTTGACGCGCCCTCTCCCACTTTGGCGGTGCGAGCTGCCTCGCCGCCCGCTCATGTCGCTGCCGAAGCTGTGCCACATGGTGCGGCTGCGCCAGGACGGTTGGGTACCGAGCGCCGCTCGGGCTGCCGTGAGCCCAGGCGGCCCCGGTGAGTACGTGGAGGAGTTCTCCAGGCCTGTGTCGTACTTCGTCGCGCTCCGCAGTTGCGATGCCATCTTCTCGAAGGGCGTGGCGGAGATCTGTCAGCGAAGGGGCAGCAACTATTACAAATGCTTGCTGCGCCTCGATGGCGACACCCTCCGAGCGATGATGGAGCGGCTGGCAGTGGAGGACACTGATGATGTATTCAAAGCTTTGCTCAAGAATGTTCCCGACGTCACCGACAGCGAGGCGAGCGACCTCGATGCGGACGGGGCCGGCTGCAATCCCCCGAGGCGCCGCCCTAGGGCGCTGCAGGATGGCAGCGCCTGCGCTGGCATCCTCGCACCAGCTGTCCGACAAGAGCGCGAGCACAATGTCCCTTGGTGGGAGACCGAATGGAGGCGATGCTGGGTTACGCTCAACGGCCACAGGACCAAGGTGTGGTTCGATAACTTTGCAGGCAGGAACGGTCGTCGCCGAGCCTGGTGCAACTGCCCCACCCATGGATGCGGCAAGATACGCCAAGTTTCGCACAACAGGGATTGGTTTGCGACGGCTCTCATGCTATGGCACCTGCGCGGCCTCGGCAACACAGAGATCACTCGACACGACCACTTACAGTATTGGCTGGCTGATGCCGAGGTCGAGCATGCTTTGCAGACCGCAACGTTTGAGAATTTTTGAGGCCGTGGCGACATCGGTGCCTTCGCCCTCAGCTACTTGTTCGTGGACGTCGTCCGCATGCACTTGCCGTCCGTGTGCGCATACGCTCCGTGCGATGCTCGCTGGTGCGTCAGAGGGGAAGAAGTCCCACCTGAGACTTTATGCTCTCCCTCTCCATCCACCAGTCGTTTGGGCTGCAGCCCCCATCTTTCCGCCTCCCCACTTACATGATGCACTGTGGATTCGCTGTCAGCTCCGTGAGACAGAGCTGATCCTTCGAGTTACTTAAACATGTTGCCTCGTCGCCTGCGTAGGTATGTTAGCTTGTTAGCGGGGTCCCTGGTGCTGCCCCGAGGGCCTAATAGGCCCAAACCAATGCTTACGCGAGGTTTCCGCGACTTCGGTTTCTCAGTTTGGCGTTGGGTTCGCCTCGGGATCTTTGTCAGACGCAAGCTGTGATATCAGAGATTCGCTGCGGTTGCGCATCCAACCGTGTACTTATTTTTGGGAATTGAGTTGCATTGCGTTGCTGAGCTGTCAGGTCAGACTTGGGGTTTCTGGGGCGTTAGGCTTTAGGGTCTACTGGTCCGCGGGCACGCCTGTCAGCCGACAGGAGTTCATGCGGGAGGGGGGCGGCTTAAGGGTTAAAGGAAGGGCACAGCGCCACTGCAGGGGGGCACCACGGGGGAGGAAGGGTAGGAAGGAGAGGATGTAAGATATGGATGTGATGATGATGATGATGTAGCCGTTTTGGCTCATGTACATCATTCGGGTGGCAGGGTTGCCCACGATTCTCGGCGCGTGCTTCGCGCATCTTGCAGCCATGGAGGCCCTCGCCGAAGGCTCGCTCCCCAGGGGTTCGGTCGCTCCTGCAGCGAGTGGCCACGGTTCTCCGAGTCGAGCAGAGCAGGCCCACCCATACCTCCAGGGACGGATGGCGAACCAGATCATGACTGCCAGGTCCCGTGAGCAGGGGGCGCCTTTAATGGCTAGCGGTGCTCATTCAGTATCATCAGACTCAGGCCTTGCTGGCGGAACCCAGACGCCCGCGCTCGTCAACCCTGCACCTTCGACTCCCGTCTCTGGGGTTCACACTTCCCTCGGACATGCTTCAGAACAGCAGATTGTTCCCGCTGGCGGTCTTGGTCCTGCTGTACCTCGGCCAGGTAGTCTCCGCGCAGCTGCTGCTGCGGCGAGCGAGGTCTTGGCCCTCTACACATTTTCCCATGTAATGTGTTTCTCATGCGGGCCGATCGGGCATTGGATTTTCTGGGTTCGAATGCCCGATCGATCTCCCTTGCCTCCAGGTCTGCGCGGCGCCTGGCGTTGTGGGGGCTGGCCACGCGGGCGCTCAGCAGACCTTCATCTGCAGGAAGTGCAAGCTTCAGAAGCCTCTGTCTGACAAGTCCGCCACCAAGGATGGCGAGTGCAAACGTGACACGGCCAGTTACGTGTCCATCAGCACTCGCTGCCGCACCAGCACAGCTCTTCGGAATTGGTGGAAGAATCTATCTGAGGATAAGCGGGTCGAGTGGTACAGGAAGCAGCAGGCGATCCCGAGCAATGCGAAGCGATCTTTCGACGAACTACAGCACGCCGAGGAGACTACGAGAGCCGTCGGCACGAGAGAGCGCGACCTTGACCACTACATGCCGTGGTGGATGTTTCTGGAGAGGCTGAGTCCCCACAAGAACCGTGATGAGATTGTGGCCATGTGGGACGAGGCGCTCAGGAACCCAGGGGTCACGTGCATCTTCAGGCGGAACGAGTGGCGCTGCAGCATCTGGGAGGGCGTGATGATGGAGCGCGTGGACGAGCGCCTGCAGATCGCTCGCACCGGCCGCATGGCGAGCGTGCGCGATCCTGAGACACTGGCAGAGCTGCAGCGGAGGGCCGACGTGGCGCTGTCTGAGTCATTGCAATCTATGGCGACGCCGCACAGCCTCCAGTCTCAGGGCATCGTCGGAGAGCAAGCTCCCGTGGTGTCCACGAGCTTGTCCGAGCAGCCCGCGCAGCCGACCATGGCCAACATCGTGGGGGCCCTGATCCGTCGTGAGGCGGGCAATGCTTCGCCCTCCTCTTCCCCCTCCCCCTTCTCCTCCTCCCCCTCATCCTCCTCATCCTCTTCCTCCTTCTCTTTCTTGTCCGCCGCATCCTCTATGGTGACAGCACCTGACAGCATGCCAAGCATTGCGGGGACTGCAAGACCGCGAAATTGACCCAAAAAAGGGCTGGTATTTCAAGCCACCTTCTTGCGGCAAAAAGGTGGGTTGAAATACAGGCCGTTTTGGGCCAATTTCAACGTCTTGCAGTTTTTGTTGTATCCGAGCAGGCGTCCACCCAGCAGCGCATCGACGCGCGCCGATCCCACCTTGAGAACGAGGACCCCATGGCTGCTGGCGGCGTCCAGGCCGCTGCTGCTGGCGATGGGGACGGGGGCGCCGTGGCCGAGGGTGGCGCTCAGAAGATGGCCATCGGCAAGATCAGGTTCAACGCGCACGTCGAGGCCAAGCTCCTCGACTTGAACAAGATCTTAGATGATTGCGAGCTCAAGGCGCAGGAGGCCGAGGCGTCCGTGGCGGCCAGCAGCTCCGCGGACCCTTGCACCTGGGCGGGGGGTCATATCATTTTATGAGGGGCGATGGGGGGGAAGGGGGAGTGAGTCGTTCGGGCCCCTCGGCGGTGGCATGCCGCCGAGGGGCCCGAACGACTCACCCCCCCCTCGCGTGTCGCGGCCCCTTACGATTCGCATGGGTATGTTGCGTTGTCTCAGGTGGCCATGTCAGCGAGGCGAAAACCTTAACTTGACCCTTAATTTCCTTACTTCTCCCTTTCTCTGGATGCTTCCTCGGGGCCTGGAGGTTCTCTGAGGTTGGCCAGGAGGGCAGACATTGCATGGTTCTCGCATGCGAATCGTCTCGCGCCCGTCATGCGAGGGCTCGCGCCCTTACTATCACCCTTAATTTCCTTACCAATGCCTTTCTCGACGCGTCGGCCCGCGTCGCCTATGTGGTCCACGCGGCGCCGCTCTGGCCTATATCATGGCCTTTGCGGCGCCGAACGTCGCCGTGTCGGCGCGCCCCGACGCCCCGAGTCAGCCCGCAGCGAAGTGGCGAGAAAGGCAATGGTAAGGAAAGAAAGGGTGAAAGTAAGGGTCCGAAGTCTCGCGGTAGGGGGGCGCGCATTCGTCGCCCCTTGACTTGCGAAATGGCCCCGACACCCCCGTGTAGGATAATCAGTTGCAGCACGATGAGCAGGGTGAAGCCCGCGACGCTCTCAAGCAGAAGATCCAGGAGCTTCTCGACAGGGCAACAGCGCAGATCACCAAGTGCAAGGGCGATGTCGAGAGCCAGCGGGTCCAGGGCGCTGCCGCCACGACGGTGCAGCAGTTGCAGACGGCCAGCTCTGAGGTGACTAAGTTGCTGCAGAAGTGCAAGAAGGCCGGCCTGAAAATCATACTTATGGAACATTGTCCTTTGATTTGTGCCGCTTGGTTTTCCTTGGGACCAGATCAGTGGCTTATGTGTTTCCATTGTGATAATGACCCGTTGCCCAGCAGCGTGGTTTATGTCCATGAGAAGCGCATCGGCACTTCATCTGCCGCGGGGTTCCAGCATGTACGAATTTCTAGTCAGCCTCCAGGGGGGCGTGAAGACCTTGAACATTGAGACGGCCAGCATGAAGCGTTCCATGGGGGCGATCGGGCGTAGACGTCTTGCTGCCGCGACGGGCGCCATGGCCGTTGCGCCAGCGGAGATGCCGCCCAGGTACACCGAGCTCGTCAACGTGGTCTCTGCGGTGGGGATCAACAAGGGCATCGGCTCGGCGTTCGAGGCCAAGGCAGGTCACGCCCCGACGCTGGCCCCGACGGTGGTGACGGTCCGCCAGAAGGAGATCGACGTGGTCGCGGAGATCCTGAAGTGCTTGCCGACGAAGCAGGCCTTGAAACTACTGCAGTCCCACCTGAAGGAGAACAGCTGGGGCACCCAGGCCATTGCCGACGATGCGAAGGGCAAGCGGATCACTAACTTGTTGTCGAAGAGCTTCGACAGCATGTGGTTTACCACGCTTCCGTGTCGGCTCGACTCGGACTTCGGGGCCAAGGTCTACAAGCCGCAGTTCATGGGCATGAAGCCTTGTTTCATGAATGTGAACCTCCCTCCGTTCGGCGTCATGGAGGCGAGGCTGCCCATCCAGGGCTCGGAGATGGTCATGGGCATCCCCCTCGATGACGTTCCTCCGCAGGGCGATGACCTCCGAGCCAAGCGCGACTACTTGACGAGGGCGTCGGGGCAGGACGTGGCCCAGCTCGTTTCGGATAAAGTTTTCTGCGCTGCGCACGACAACAAGCAGCTGCTCATCATCCCGTCGGGGTTCGTGTGCATCACCGTCGCCGACTCGAAGGACGGCTGCGCGATCATCCGCTGGGGCATCAGCTCCGACGCGCGCGACGCGCTCAGGGCGAAGGCGAGGGTCGACATGATGCTCGCCGCCTTCGCCGGGCTTCGCCAGGCCAGCTCGGGCTACGGCGCGTTTCATCGGTTTCTGGCAGATCTCTAGCCCAAGGGATCCTCAGTTTCGGTCGAGGTCTGGGCGTGCACCAGGGCTGGATGCGCGCGAAGCACGCCCTGGGGCGAGGCGCGTGCTGGGAGCGACCTCGGCCAGGCGATATGGCTCAGTGATTGCGCGAGCCAGTTGCTGCATCTGTGCCTGCAGTGCAAGACAAGTACTCGTGAATGACAGAGGGTTGTGGTTGTCAGAAACGCAAGAAAGGTCCGTGTTGTTTGCGCCTCTCTTGGGGTCTCGGGCAAAGTCGTGCGAGCCATGTTTGGTAAAGAAGAGCGGGATCGTTGCGCCCTGGACTTCGGAAGGATAACGGGGATGATGATGATGAGGATGGTGAGGATGAGGAGGACGAACGTGCTTTGACGGTCCGAGGTGCCAAGGACAGGGATGCGGTTGCGGAGATGTGGGGAGGAGCAGGAGGAGGGAGAGGAGGTGGGGGAGGGGGATGCGGAGGACAGAGGTTGAAGGAGGAGGAGGATGAAGGAGGCATGGGGATGAGGCAGGACCCCGTGGCGCCTCAGAGCGACGCGCAGCCGAGGGCGGCCTCGGTCCTTCGCGAGGCGCCGCCTGGTGCGGGGGCCGCTTCGAAGACGGGGTTCGTGGAGGGGCGCTTCGCTTCCTTTTCCTCCTCCTTTTCCTCCTCGTCGTCGTCCTCCTCACCCGTCCTCCTCCTCCTCCTCCTCGACCCTCCCCTCAGGACAAAGCTCATGCGGCTCAAAGATGCCTGTGCGCCTCTGAACGGCGACCTTGACTGACATCTATGTTGGTGGCGTTGGGGCCTTGGCCCAATGCGTTTTGGCGTGGCGCATGGGCTTTTGCGCCGTGGGCGCATCGGTGGGCGCGTGGCTCGGCGTCGGCTGCGTTTGTTCTGCGCTCTGTCGGTTTAGGCTGTCGCGACGCGACCTTGCGATTGCGTTTGGCCGCGTGTGTTTTGTCCGCGGGTTTCAGTGCCATGCGTTTCTTTGCATGTTTCGCACGTTGCCGCTTCCGCCGCTGCACCTCTCTGTCCTACCTCACGTTGCCATTTTGGCTTTCTGTCTGTTGGCTCAGGGCCCGATGCGGCTGGCACATTGAGACACATCAACGCTAACACCGCCATCGCATATCGGAGGCGGCTTGGTGTTCCGCGAGCGTTGCTCGCATGGTGCACGATGTCGCTCGTGAAGCGATGCTTGGCGTCGCCCCACACCCCGCCCCATGAAACTTGTACATTCATGCGCGGCGGCATTAGTTTCAAACGAGGGTGGCGTTTCCGATCGAAACGTTGAGGGTTGAACGGGCGCGCGCGTCACCATGTATGGCCCGATCTGTTCCATTGCGCTTGATCGCGTTTCTGATTGACGGCGTCGCGGTGGCGTGGCTTATCTGGCATTGGTTCGACCGTCGTTAGCGGACCCACTTCGGCCAGGACAGGACCACGGTGGGTTACTACTCCCGCCCCCCGGTGCTGGGCGACGCGCTGCCCGTTCGCCCCTTTTGCGCGTCGCCGGGGCCGCCGCTGCGACTCGCTCAGCAGCGTTCTCTGCGCGTGGTTTCCTTGATTGACTGGGGCGCGTGAGCAACAACCAGGAAGGCAGAGGCCTGTGGAGTGGAGGTCCAGGGCACCAACCAAGTGTGCCCTGGCTGGGGACGGGACAGTGCTTTGGTCGAACCCAAGAGTGGAGGCCCTGGGCACGGTTGTCGTGCCACGGCACGTGGTGGCACCCCTCGCCTTCATTCGCCAGTCTGTTCGGCTCTTGGCTGCGCCCCCAGCGCTTCGAAGGAACATCGCGACAGGGGAGCTGACAGTTCCAGCCGCCCCTTCAGGCCCCCATGGCCCTCAGCGAAGTGTGCTTAGGTTGAGGGCCTGACAGTGCCGTGGCACGGGCCACGCGTGGAGCCCCTCGGCATGGCGTCGTGCCAGCGACTTGGTTGCACCCCCACGTTCATTCACAAGTATCTGCGGCTCTTGGCGGCGCCCCCAGCGTTGTGCTTGGGCATAATGGCTGGGGAGCTGACAGGTTCAGCCACCTCAACGGGTCACCGCGGCCCTCAGCGAAGTGGGCCTTGGTTGAGGACGTGCCAGTGCCGTGACACATCCCAGTGAGGAGGCCATGGACATGGCTGTCTTGCCAGCGGCCCGTCGGTGCACCCCCCCCGCGTTCATTCGCAAGTCTCTGCGGCTCTTGGCTGCGCCCCCAGCGTTGTGAAGGGGCACCATGACAGAGGAGCTGACAGGTTCAGCCACCCCAGTGGGTTGCTGTGACCCGCATCTCGCTTCCAGCCGGGTCAGGACCCACAGTTTGTGCAAGGCCTGCCCGAGCTAACCACAATGTGATTTCCCCCGGTCTTCCTTGTCGACACAACGTGGTACCTCGGGCTACCGCTGCGTACACTGTCATGAGGACTCGTGAGAGTGGCCTCCCCCCATGGCACCACCGCGGCCAGCGGGCCTCCCTTGCCCGCGGGCCCGGCCCGCATGGTACGGTTCGGGGCGATCCAGGTGCTGGGCTTCGGCAAGGTGCAGACCGGCGCACCTCGCCGCTTCTGGTACCGCCCGATGGCGGGCTTGGTTTGGGCGTGGTCCTGCACGAGTGGTTCATCCTTTGGCAGGTCACCGCGGATCCCCCGGCAGGTCCGTCATATGTGTCCCGGCTTACGCTCGCGACTTTGTGCCCCCGACCCTCTGTGTCGGATAAGTTGCTCGCGGTGAACGCCGGCGACGTCGACGACAGGGTCCCTGACTGTGGTCGTCGCCTTCGCGTTCAGCTCCTGCTAGTGGTTCATCCTTTGGCAGATCATCACGGCCCCCCCTGCAGGCTGGGCCAGGTGACTTGACCAGTGCTTGCAGCTTTACGCCCCCGATCCTCAGTGTCGGACAAGTTGCAGGCTGTGAACTCAGACGACACGGTCGACTGTTCCTTGACTGGGTTCTGGTCGCTCTCATGCCCAAGAGCGTCCTATGAGTCATTGTGAGTGAGGCTTCCATCTGTGCCCTCCCATTTCCTGCTGCCGCGTGCCTTTGCGCCCGCCGTGTCTCTCTTGTTTATTTGCCTCACCTGTTGCATGGGCGTCGCGGCCGCGCCTGGCCACCCCGTGCCGCCGCAATGCGGCGTGCCCCACGCCTTTCGCGCTGTGCGGTGCGGTGGGAGCATGGCGCCGCGCGTGCGACAGCTCCTTTCCGTCCGCCTCCACTTCTGCGCTTGCGTAGCCCTCTGTCGGGCCTTCAGCGCCAGCCCCCAATGAGGGTCATTTTGCCCCTGGCATGTGCACTCGCTACAGCGGCCGATGCGCCCCCGCAGCTAATTATCTCGCCCTGTGCCCCAGTCGAGTCCGCCCCGCTTCTTTGATCTGTACTTGGAGCCGCCAATCAAAAAGTATCCCCACCAGCTCCGTAGCCTTGGCTCAAGCCGTCTCCCGGGGGGGCCTCTCCCCCCTGGGGTCAGGGCTCGAGGTCGGCCTGCGCGGCCAGGGAGGGGCGCCCGCCGCCGTGCCTCTGCCCAACGCCCGCGGCCGCAGCGCCGCCATCCATCCTCCTGTGCTGGCGGCACCCGCTGCCTCCGCGGCTGCCTCAGAAGATGGAAGATCGGCTCCAGGGAAACCCCAACCCTGGTGACTTTTTCGAGCCAGTGCAGGGCTTGGGCGCCCTGACACTGCTAGGGAATCGCGACGGGCAGGGACCCCTGGGGACCGGAAGCCCAACCGGACCGCCCGAACCGGGGCCCAGCCCGATCGGTCCGCAACCTGCGTTTCCGGTCGAACAGGCACCCGACACCGATCCGCCTTCGGGCTCCGCTAGTCGGATCGACCGAGCAGGTTCGACCCACAATGCAGCGGCTGTTAGCTGCACTGGAGTGGAGCGAAGATCGGACCACCCCCACGACGGCGATGATCGAGCTCTCAGATTCGCCGCGCCCTCGGAACCAGAACGAGGCATCGAGCGATCAGATCCGGTTAACTTCACCACTTCCGCGGCTGTTAGCCGCACCTTAGTTGGGGCATCAAACCCCCACGGGCGACACTCCCATCCAACCAGACACTAGTGCTTCATACCATCCTGCGGCTGTTAGCTGCACCTCAGCCGAGCATCGGCGCGACAAGCAGACTGCGGACCGAGGCGAAGCGTTGGGTGCCCCCCCAGGTCCCCCCCCAGCCTCAGGAGGACCCCTCAGAGCTCAGCTCCTCCCCGCGGGCCCAGCGGGAACACCAGAGTCCCCCCCCAGCAGGCCACGGACCGATGCGGGCGACTGAGGTGGACAACGCCCGCATGCGTCTGGACTTTTTACTGTCTTCTGCAGCTGTTAGCTGCGCGACGGAGGCCCTCCCCGCGGGCGGGCAGTCGGACCCTGATCGGGAGATCGATCGACCAGACAAAGATAGATATCTCAATCAATTCAGCGGCTGTTAGCTGCTCTTTAGCTGCGCCTCGATCCGATCCTTCAGCAGGCACCTCCTCTGGAGGAGAGCTCGCCCGTCGGTTGGCTTGGAATGTAGTGGGCGGGGCACCCCCCCGCCGCTGGAGATTACTGGCCATGGCGAAGTGGTGGGTCCCCCCCTCCAGGGCCCCCCCCTGCCTCGGATGGCCCCCCCCCGGAGCTGAGCTCCCCCCCGCGGGCCCAGTGGGGTCTCCAGAGTCCCTTTTCAGCAGCTCGCACGCCAGCGACTGAGACGGGCAATCGCTGCGCTGACCAGAACGATCGATCAGACCTCAGCTCTTCTCACATTTCCGCGGCTGTTAGCTGCTCATTCACCAGTCCGCGACCAGACCTCCCCCCGGGGGATACCACCCCCAGCTGCGGGGGCCGAAGCGCCTCTCCAGCAGAATTTCTGCCTCTGTGGGCCCTCGTGGGTGGTCTCTTGAAGGCTTCGGGGCGTCTTGAAGGCGCCTCGGGCTGTCTGGAGGCTGCGTCTTGGGTCGCTTTTGGACCGCTCTTGGAGGCCACTTGAAGCGCTCCTGGAGTGCTCTTGGGAGCCTGCTGGGACCTGGCCGGGGCCTGCCCGGGACCTGCCCGGGACCTGCCCTGGATTTTGCCGGGGCCTTGCCAGGATTTGCGGGGGCATTTCTCGTCCAGGGACCCCCGGGGGCGGCCCCGCGCGCGCGAATTAGAGATCATAGCACGCCCTGGGCCCGCTGGGCCAGCGAATTTTGGAATCGCGCTGTCGTTCAAGGCTTCCTCGCGATTCATGCAGGACGCGCGCTTCAGCAACCCGCCTGCTCGACCTGGCCGCCTGGGCCCGCCTGTTAGGGTCTACCCGCCCGATATGTCCGTTTGGTTTTGCCTCGTGCGTTCTGCTCCTAGCACCCCTCCTGCTCTCTGTCGTGCTCCTTCCTCCTCTCTCCCCCTTTGTCTCTTCCTTCCATCCGTCCTCTCTTCCCCCGCCCCTGGTGCTGTACGGCATGCACGTTGCAGGTGAGAAAGATGTACACCCAAGGGGATTCGATCGAAGACGACGAGGGTTGGTTTCGCGGGTTTGGGATATACGTTATGAATGGTACGCGAAGGGATTAGTGCGAACAGTCTTGGCATGACTGTTGTTATTTTTGTTGTTGTGTTGTGGTTGTTGAACATTATTTATTCTAAAGAATAATTATTGTTGGGCCCCCTGGTGCGCGCCCCCCCTGCGCCGCCTAGGCCGCAGCTACATTTTCAACATTTTCGTGAGGAAGCCTCAGAAAAGAGGGTGTGTACAGGATCCGGTTGTTTTGTTGTAATCCGCTTTCCCTTGCAAAAAACAATACAAAATGACATTTCTTGTTCTAGTATAATCAAAGTTCAAGAATCCCTTGCAAAAAATAAGGTAAAGTGGACATTCGCGCGCGCAAGACGAATTCCTTCCAAAACCTTAGTGTTCGCAGCGATTTTTAAAAACATAACCAATAAAAACATCAAAAAACCAATGGTTTTTCAACAAAAAACTGTCAAAATCTCATCCCGCGCGCTCTTGCGGATTCGTAGGAAACCCAACACTTTTTAAACATTTCTGTCAAACGGGCTTTTGCGAGCAACTTTTTCGAACTTCTGCGACAACGGTTGCGCACCTGCCAGGGCCATCATCCCTGTCAAATAATACCATGCGGGACACATTCGTTTTTTCTTCGCGCGCGCACGCCATCGGAACAACCATCGGGACAACCATCGGACAACCATCGGGACAACCATCGGGACAATCATCGGGACAGTCATCGGGACAACGATCGGGACAACACAACCATCAGGACAACCATCGGGACAATCATCGGGACAACGATCGGGACAACCACAACCATCAGGACAACCATCGGGACAACCATCGAGACAACCATCGGGACAACCATATCCTCTCTCTCTTGTGTATTCCCACATCCCTCAGGAATTTGCCCTAAAGATGTGATCAACTATCTTGTGAGTACGTATCATGTGTATCATGTGTATCATGTACCATATGCATCATATGCAACAGATGTTCTGTGGAAGGCTTAACAACTTCTGTGGGTTAACAAGGCTTAACAACTTCTGTGGGTGTACGAACGTAGGCTTAACAACTTCTGTGGGTGTGTACTCCACGCCAGTGTAGTAGCCACGGTCGTCCGCAGGCCACGAAGTGAAGTGTCCGAACGTCATAGGGCGGGAAGCTGGGTGTGGGTGGTGGCGAAGAGTCGTGTGGATATTTGGTAGAGCTTGCACTGCCCCCCCACAAAGTGGGGGTATTGGCTGGCGTCGCATGAAAACCCTGGCACTGGTGAGAACACTGAGCGTTCGGGTAAAGTGATTGTTGTTGTTGTTGTTGTTGTTGTTGTTGTTGTTGTTGTTGTTGTTGTTGAACATTATTACTTCTAAAGAATAATTATTGTTGGGGCCCCTGGTGCACGACCCCCCCGCCGCGCCTAGGCCGCAGCCTCATTTTCATCATTTTCGTGAGGAAGTCTCAGGCAATCCGGTTGTGTTGTTACGAAATAAGCTAAAGTGGACATTTCTTGTTCTAACATAACCAAACTTCAAGAATCCCTTGCAAACAAATAAGGTAAAGTGGACATTCGCGCGCGCAAGACGAAATCCTTCCAAAACCTTAGTTTTCGTAGCGATTTTAACATAAAAACATCAAAAAAACCAATGGTTTTTCAAAAAAAAAATGTCAAAATTTCATCCCGCGCGCTCTTGCGGATTCGTAGGAAACCCAACACTTTTTAAACATTTCTGTCAAACGGGCTTTTGCGAGCAACTTTTTCGAACTTCTGCAACAACGGTTGCGCACCTGCCAGGGCCATCATCCCTGTCAAATAATACCATGCGGGACACATTCGTTTTTTCTTCGCGCGCGCACGCCGTCGTCGTCGGCCGCGGGGCCCTGAATAGTAGCCACGGTCGTCCGCATGCCACGAAGTGAAGTGTCCGAACGTCATAGGGCGGGAAGCTGGGTGTGGGTGGTGGCGAAGAGTCGTTTGGAAATTTGGTAGAGCTTGAACCGGCCCCCCCACAAAGTGGGGGTATTGCCCGCCTCCTATGAAAACCCTGGCACTGGTGAGAACGGAGTGTCCCCACGTGCTAGTAATTGTTGTTGTTGTTGTTGTTGTTGTTGATGTTGTTGTTGTTGTTGAACATTATTTCTTCTTAAGAATAATTATTGTTGGGGCCCCTGGTGCACGACCCCCCCGCCGCGCCTCGGCCGCAGCCACATTTTCATCATTTTCGTGAGGAAGTCTCAGGTAATACGGGGTATACCAGATCCGGTTGTTTTGTTGTCCCCCGCTTTCCCTTGCAAAAAACACTATAAAATGACATTTCTTGTTCTAACATAATCCAAACTTCAAGAATCCCTTGCAAAAAATAAGGTAAAGTGGACATTCGCGCGCGCAAGACGAAATCCTTCCAAAACCTTAGTTTTCGTAGCGATTTTAACATAAAAACATAAAAAACCAATGGTTTTTCAAACAAAAAATTGTCAAAATTTCATCCCGCGCGCTCTTGCGGATTCGTAGGAAACCCAACACTTTTTAAACATTTCTGTCAAACGGGCTTTTGCGAGCAACTTTTTCGAACTTCTGCAACAACGGTTGCGCACCTGCCAGGGCCATCATCCCTGTCAAATAATACCATGCGGGACACATTCGTTTTTTCTTCGCGCGCGCACGCCGTCGTCGTCGGCCGCGGGGCCCTGAATAGTAGCCACGGTCGTCCGCATGCCACGAAGTGAAGTGTCCGAACGTCATAGGGCGGGAAGCTGGGTGTGGGTGGTGGCGAAGAGTCGTTTGGAAATTTGGTAGAGCTTGAACCGGCCCCCCCACAAAGTGGGGGTATTGCCCGCCTCCTATGAAAACCCTGGCACTGGTGAGAACGGAGTGTCCCCACGTGCTAGTAATTGTTGTTGTTGTTGAACATTATTAATTCTAAAGAATAATTATTGTTGGGCCCCTGGTGCACGGCCCCCCTGCGCCGCCTAGGCCGCAGCTACATTTTCATCATTTTCGTGAGGAAGCCTCAGGTAAACGATGTGATCAAGATCCGGTTGTTTTGTTGTAATCCGTTTTCCCTTGCAAAAAACACTATAAAATGACATTTCTTGTTCTAATATAATCAAATTTCAAGAATCCCTTGCAAAAAATAAGGTAAAGTGGACATTCGCGCGCGCAAGACGAAATCCTTCCAAAAGCTTAGTGTTCGGAGCGATTTTAACATAAAAACATCAAAAAACCAATGGTTTTTCAACAAAAAAATGTCAAAATCTCATCCCGCGCGCTCTTGCGGATTCGTAGGAAAACCAACACTTTTTAAACATTTCTGTCAAACGGGCTTTTGCGAGCAACTTTTTCGAACTTCTGCGACAACGGTTGCGCACCTGCCAGGGCCATCATCCCTGTCAAATAATACCATGCGGGACACATTCGTTTTTTGCGCGCGCACGCCGAAATCTCCAAAAACCATTGGGTCCTCGAAAAACACCTGCACGTCTTCCCTTGCGAGTACGTATCATGTGTATCATGTGTATCATGTACCATATGCATCATATGCAACAGATGTTCTGTGGAAGGCTTAACAACTTCTGTGGGTTAACAAGGCTTAACAACTTCTGTGGGTGTACGAACGTAGGCTTAACAACTTCTGTGGGTGTGTACTCCACGCCAGTGTAGTAGCCACGGTCGTCCGCAGGCCACGAAGTGAAGTGTCCGAACGTCATAGGGCGGGAAGCTGGGTGTGGGTGGTGGCGAAGAGTCGTGTGGATATTTGGTAGAGCTTGCACTGCCCCCCCACAAAGTGGGGGTATTGGCTGGCGTCGCATGAAAACCCTGGCACTGGTGAGAACACTGAGCGTTCGGGTAAAGTGATTGTTGTTGTTGTTGTTGTTGTTGTTGTTGTTGTTGTTGTTGTTGTTGTTGTTGAACTCTCACTTCTGTGCCGGTGCATGCTGTTTTTTTTCTCAATCAAAGTGTGCCCCTCGACGTTCGCACCCTGTTTTTTGGGACAGGGAAAGTCTTGTGCTCAAACTGCGCCCCTGGCCCCCCGGATTATAACAAAAACGGCTCCCGCCTGAGACCTCATACGTATTTACTCAAGGTTCGAGCCATCTTACGATTCAGCCCTCTGGGGGCTAGCTTGGGCCGAAAAGCTTGCGAGGCAGAATTCGTTCATTCACAAATGCGTTGTGGGGGATGGTTTTGGCAGTCGGAGGCCTCACCTGGCCTCTTTGGGCCTGTCTTGAACAGGCTGTCATAGCTTCCTGCCATGTCTTTGACTGCGGCTGGACCGTCTTTGGGCGTCTTGGGATCTTTGAGAGCGGCGGTCGGTCCCTCTTGAGGCCTCGTGGGCGCCTCTGAGAGCCTCTCGGGTCCACCTTCTGGCCCCTATTATGACGTTTCGTGGCCCAGTCGGCCGTCTTGGAGGCAGTGGCCGGCGCCGGGGGCGGGGACCGCGGGGCCGTGGCCGCGGCCGGGGGCCAGGGCCGGGGCCGTGGCGCGCCGCCGTGCAGGGCTTTGGGCCCTCCCGGAGGACGACTTATACCGGAAGGTCTTCCTGGCGGCCCACGCCGCCCGGGAACTGTCCTGGGCAAGTCAGTCCGAGAGGCTGATTGCGGCTTGGGGTGTGCAGGATTGGCCGGTCTGGTCCCAGGCTCACCCGGGGGAGCAGCGCGAGGCGTACGTCGCGGCTGTGCAGCAGCAGGTTGCTCGCAAGTGCAGGGGGGAGTGGCAGCTCAGGGCGAGGGACCATGACCGTCCTGTCCCTTTGCTCTCCCTGTGCGAGGGCCCGGTGCGGGATCTGGCGACAGCTCTCCAGGGCGGGTGCAGCTGGGACGTTCTGCAGGGCATGCGGTCCCTCAGCCGCTGGAGGGCTGGCCTCTTCATCCTGGGGCACGTGGGCGGGCGCAGGTCGTGGGTTGCCGTGCAGAGCTGCGTGCTGTGTGGCGCGCGGCATCGCAGTTTGTCGTTCCATGTGTGCAGCGGCTGCCCGGGTACCGCAGAAGGCCGGGCTGCCTTCTGGGCGGCGCGGGCGCAGCCCCAGCCGGTCTCGCAGGAGGCTTGTGCGCGCGCGCTGCTGTCTGCCAGGCCGGGGGAGGCTGGCTACGCGGAGGCGGTCGCGCTCGCGGCGGGTGTGGACAAGCAGCAGCGACGGTTCTGGGTAGGGCGAGATTGAGCGCATGCGGTCGCCGCCCCCGAAGGAGGAGTCGGAGCATGGCCCCCAGCTGCCGGAGAAGTGCCCGAACCCTGGGCGGGAGTGAGTCCGCATCTGCGGTGTGCGGACACACTCCCGCCTGGGCGTTCCGGGACTTTTCCGGGGATCGGGGGTGGCCTCAGCTAGTGTTCCCTCCCCTCCTCCTCCCCCTCCCCCCTCTGGGGCTCCTGGGGCTCTGGTTTCTGTCTCGGTGGCCTCGCCTTGTTTCCTGGCGAGGGCCCCCCTGGGGGCCTGTGGCTTTCGGGGTGTGCTCCCCTGGGGGTCCTGGGGCTTTCTGTTTAGTTGCGGTTGCCTCGCCCGTTCCCTGGCTTGGGGCCCCCCTGGGGGCCGGTGGACTTCGGGGTGGGCGAGGGGGCTCTTTCTCCCCCCCTGTCTCTCCCCGCAGGCCGGGCCGCGTCCCGATGCCGAGCAGGGGTGGTGGCGGGGGGTACCCACTCGGGGAGGGCCTCTTCCAGTCATCTCTCATCGCCTCGCAGCTGCGCCCTGCGGTGGCATCCGGGATGTGCTAGGACGGGCGAGGCCCCAGCGGAGGTGAGCGGGAGCTCTCGCGCTGTCCATCCCCACTCTGCGGCACAGGTTCCGCCCGGCACGGGTGGCCACCAGGGCTGCCCTGGATGGATCCCCCTGTCCCCTTCGTCCTGGGTCGGGACCCCAGCAGTAGCGCCCTCCTATTCTGGGATATCCCGCTCCCAGGTATTTGGGGGCCGGTATTGCTGGGCCTTCCTGTGGTTGAGGTGGGGCGGGGAGGGTGCCCCAGGGGAGGTACCCCAGGGAGTCTCTCGGACCAAGTGGCGCCGTGGCGTTGCGGTACCAGACCCCCGCGACACGTGGTGAGCTGCCCCCCCAGCCATCCCTGAGTGGGAGGTGCCGCTAAAGAGGCAGTGCCCGCGGCCTCACCAGACTGCTTACCCAAGCCACCACCACCACCACCTCCACCTTCCGCACCTTCCGCGCGGCAGCTTCCACGCCGCGACGGCCGCCGCCGTGGCCGCCATTGCTGCTTCCGCCGAGGCCGCAGAGGAGGTTTCGGCGGCGGCGGCGTCCGCCGCGGCGCGGCACCTGCCGCGCGGAAGGTGCGGAAGGTGGAGGGCGGGGGAATGAAAAAATCACGACGGGAGGTTTTTCGCCATTTTCGGCCTCTGGGGGCCCTCACTGGGCCTCGGGACCGTCAGAAAACGATCCAGGATGAAAAACCCCGTATTGGAAAAATCACGACGTCGGATGTCTGGGTGGGGGAGGGGTCTTCAGCTCCCCGGCCGACAGGGGACCACCTCCCCGTCCCCCTTCTCCAGCAGGGAGGACCGCACGGGGGGGGGGTCACAGCCCCCAGGACCCCCCAGGGACAGATCCCCAGAGGACACCCGCGGGGCCCTCCCTCGAGACCTCCTTTCGGGATCCTCTGGGACCCCCCCCCAGGACCCCCCCTCTCGGCAGGGAAGGGCTTCCCTTCGAATCAATTGCGACGCTGTTTGATTTCCGTTTGGCTGGATCGCTTGAGGAGAAGGGCCCAGGGAAAGGGGGGTGGGACGACGACGATGACGACGACGATGACGATGACGACGACGATGACGACTCAAATGGAAAAGCGTCTCACACATGCCGAAGGGTCGGCGAATTTTTATTTGCCCCTGGGTACCCAGAGACTGAGGATACACAGTTTGGATACGGTGAAGTCTCCTTTATGAGTCTGGGTGTGGGTCTTCGCGCGCATTCCGAGAGCATGCAGAAGGTAAATTCTGAAGTTCTGAAGTTTGAGCAACGTTCAGGCATATGCCACTCCGGCTATGTTACCAAGCTGCATGGTATGTTGCTAATTTGATTTGTTGTTTTGAAGAATTGCTCCAAGCAGCCTGGGGAACCCCCCACGCATGGGGGGCCAGCGGGTTTCGGATGGGCCGTTTGTTACGGGCAATACCCGAATTGTTGATCCAGTTGAAGGGCTTGTTTGCTGCGATGCGCTCGGTCCTCGTGACACTCTCTCTGCTTGTCATTGTGATATACATTTTCGCGATTCTGATAAAGCAGACGATGGAGGAAAGTGCAGTGCAGCAGAAACACTTTGACAGCGTGCCCAAATGCATGTATTCATTGTTACTGTATGCTACCTTCATGGACAACCTGAAATATCCAGACTCGCTGCCGCGCGTTCCCGCCACTGCTTGCTGAAGCATCTGCATGCCCTCGGGGGTATTGAGATGCTCATCGTTGTATTTGGGGATCTTCTAGCTATTGGCAGGATTGGCCGATGGTAAGATGAGACTGAAAATGTTTGACCAGCTCATCATAAAGATTGCGGCTCTCAAGCGAAGTTGTCCCTTCGAAAAAGATCATTCCCGGGGCTGTGGGGGCTTGTTGTTGCTGCGCAGGCATAATTCGGGGGCGGAAAAGAGGGGGGTGATGACTAGGGGGGGGTGGATATCATGGCGGGGGGCATGATATTCCCCAGATCTCATGGCGCCTCTTCTTGTTTTAATACGTCCCTGGCCCCCCCGCTGGGCCGCGCACATGCCGCCGGTCATGATTTGCACCCCCCCCTCTTGGACACCCCCCTCTTGGCCGCTCCCGAATAATGTTCATGAACAGCAGGGTGACCTCGGTCACGCCCGCTGCTGCTCAGCGCGGTGGTGGACATCACGTGGGAGCTCCTCCAGAACAACAAGATCGTTCTGATCGTGCTACTCATGTGTTGGATGCTCACTGGGATGGCAGTGCAGAACATGCTCATAGGGGTGTTGTGCGAAGTTGTCAGCCAGACTGGCACAGATGAGAGACAGTATCTGAAGCGATCGGAGGTTGCAGAGAAGGTATCTGCACTCATGGTCAATGTCGGATGCGAAGGCGGCATGCTGTCAAGAGACAATTTTATGATGATATTTGCAGAAGCGGACAAGGGAGGAGGGTCTATCCCGCAAACTTTCAACGATATTGGTGTTGACCTATTTGGCCTCCTTGACCTGACGGATTTCATTTTCAATGATGAGTTCAATGACGATGAAGACAAGACGTTGACCGCCGAGGAGTTTGTAGACCTTCTGATGCAGTTACGCGGTGAGCGACAGCTTACAGTAAAGAGTATGGTTGACATGCGGAAGCTCTTTCGACTTGAAGCACGGGAGGTAGAAACGAAGCGCAAGCAGCGAAACATGTTGATAAGGGATGGTATCTCCACGGCTTGCAGCCGTCTCGAAAGGAAGCTTGATCTGCTTGGCAGCTGTCTGAAGGGTGCAACGCCGAATGCCGAATCGAGCTTGGGTGCGAGTATTGCAGATACCGCGCAGGTCGCTGCGCTGGATATCTACACAGAGCGCCTAGCGAAGGTAGAGTCCGCCCTGGCGTATTCCAGGCGTGAACTTCTTGCCCTCCAGGCGGACATAGTGGAGGCCCCGCTGAAGGATCCTGGCATACCCGCGACTTCTACATGATTCATTGGCTTACGCCGCACCGCCGACCCCTTGGGGCGGCAGCAAGAGTGAAAGACAGAATTCGCGGAACGCGCGCGATCGCTGGGCAATCTTGGGGTTTCGGTTTGTCGTGCGTAGCGTGTGGGGTTCAAGGGGGGGGCCTTGTATGGGGATTGTTTTGAAGTTTTTCGTGGTCTTATGTGAGTTTCTTGGGGCCTTCACGGGCCTGTTCCAGGCCTCTTTGTCCACCTCCTGGATAGGCTCGGGGATCGTCGAGACCTAGCCGGGGTTGCGTCCGGCCAGAAGTTCGAGAGTGGACCTCGACGAGGAGCTTCCTGAAGGCCCAGAGGGGGCGGAGAGCGCCCAAGAACTATGAGTCTCATGCCTCGAGCCTCGATCCACCCCTTGTTCCTTCCCTTGCGAATGGGGTGGCACCGGCCAAGGAGGTCGATCCTCATCCCGGAGTTTCGGCGGTGGTCACCGGCCAAGGAGGAGGAGAAGGAGAAGGAGGAGGTACGTGAGGAGGAGGTCAGGCCTGGGGGCCCAGAAGACCACATCTTACATATCCTCCCTGGGACCCTGGGAGGCCGCCTGAGACATCCTCGAACTTCTGAGCTCTGAGATGCCCTGCGCGAGGTGGTCCGGCCCATCTCGCCTGAGACATCCTCGCAACTCTGAGCTCTGAGATGCCGTGCGCATGGTGGTCGGGCCTGTTTCGCACAAGACATTCTCGCAACTCTGAGCTCCCAGATGCTGCGCAAGAGGTGGTCCATCCTGGGTGCCCAGAAGACCACATGTTACATATCCTCCCTGGATCCGTGGGAGCCCCAGGAGGCCCCAGAGAGCTCCAGGAGGCCGCAGGACGCCCAGGACAGGCCCCAGGGGTCCCCAGGAGATTCCCAGGAGGCTCCCAGGAGGCCCCAGGAGGCCCCCTTTCAGAACGTGTCAAGTTAATACATCCGGTGTCGATTCGTTGATTTTTCCTGCTCTTGTGGCCCCCCCCCCCTTCATTTTGGGGGGCCCAAGCGGCCACAGGTTAGATATCCTCCTGTGAGCCCCAAGAGGCTTCAGGAAGCCCAGGTGGGTTCCAGGAGGCCACAGGAGGCCCAGGAGGAAACCCCAGGAGGTCACCAGGAGGCCCCAGGAGGCCCCAGGAGGCCCCCGCAACTCGGAGCTCTGAGACGCCGCGCTCGAGGTGGTCCGGCCCGTTTCGCCTGAGACTTCCTCGCAGCACGTTTCGCCCGAGACATCGTCGCAACTCTGGGGTCCGAAATGCCGCGCGCGAGGTGGTCCAGCCCGTTACGCTGGAGACATCCTCGCAACTCTGGGCTCCGAGATGCCTGCGCGAGGTGGTCCGGCCCATCTCGCCTGAGACATCCTCGCAACTCTGAGCTCTGAGATGCCGTGCGCAAGGTGGTCCGGCCCGTTTCGCACAAGACATTCTCGCAACTCTGAGCTCTCAGATGCTGCGCAAGAGGTGGTCCAGCCTGGGGGCCCAGAAGACCACATGTTACATATCCCCCCTGGGACCCTGGGAGCCCCAGGAGGCCCCAGAGAGCTTCAGGAGGCCGCAGGACGCTCAGGACAGGTTCCCAGGAGGCTCCCAGCAGGCCCCAGGAGGCCCCCTATCAGAACGTGTCAAGTTAATATAATATGGTGTCGATTCGTTGATTTTTCCTGCTCTTGTGGCCCCCCCCCCCCTCATTTTGGGGGGCCCCGACGGCCACATGTTAGATATCCCCCCCTGGGAGCCCCAAGAGGCTTCAGGAAGCCCCAGGTGGGTTCCAGGAGGCCACAGGAGGCCCAGGAGGAAACCCTAGGAGGTCACCAGGAGGCCCCAGGAGGCCCCCGCAACTCGGAGCTCTGAGACGCCGCGCTCGAGGTGGTCCGGCCCGTTTCGCCTGAGACTTCCTCGCAACTCTGAGCTCTGAGATGCCGTGCGCAAGGTGGCCCGTTTCGCACAAGACATTCTCGCAACTCTGAGCTCCCAGATGCTGCGCAAGAGGTGGTCCAGCCCGTTACGCTGGAGACATCTTCGCAGTTCTGGGCTCCGAGATGCCCTGCGCGAGGTGGTCTGACCCATCTCGCCTGAGACATCCTCGCAACTCTGAGCTCTGAGATGCCGTGCGCAAGGTGGCGCGTTTCGCACAAGACATTCTCGCAACTCTGAGCTCCCAGATGCTGCGCAAGAGGTGGTCCAGCCTGGGGGCCCAGAAAACCACATGTTACATATCCCCCCTGGGACCTTGGGAGCCCCAGGAGGCCCCAGAGAGCTTCAGGAGGCCGCAGGACGCCCCGGACAGGCCCCAGGGGTTCGCAGGAGATTCCCAAGAGGCTCCCAGGAGGCCCCAGGAGGCGCCCTTATCAGAACGTGTCAAGTTAATACACATCCGGTGTCGATTCGTTGATTTTTCCTGCTCTTGTGGCCCCCCCCATTTTGGGGGGCCCCGACGGCCACATGTTAGATATCCCCCCCTGGGAGCCCCAAGAGGCTTCAGGAAGCCCCAGGTGGGGTCCAGGAGGCCACAGGAGGCCCAGGAGGAAACCCCAGGAGGTCACCAGGAGGTCCCAGGAGGCCCCAGGAGGCCCCCGCAACTCGGAGCTCTGAGACGCCGCGCTCGAGGTGGTCCGGCCCGTTTCGCCTGAGACTTCCTCGCAGCACGTTTCGCCCGAGACATCGTCGCAACTCTGGGGTCCGAAATGCCGCGCGCGAGGTGGTCCAGCCCGTTACGCTGGAGACATCCTCGCAACTCTGGGCTCCGAGATGCCTTTCGGGATGAATAGGAGGTGGACGAGGAGGAGGAGGAGGAGGAGGAGGAGCAGGAGGAGGAGGAGGAGACATGTTTTAACATGCCATGCCAGCCCGCACTGGACGGGCACGCAATCGACCTTGGAAACCGCAGTGGGTCTAAAAACCCTGTTTGGGGATACTGCACTCCGGCTA